TCAAAATTTTGAGAAGATGTTTCTTATTTATTTTGACGTGGCTATCGTTCCTCTTTTCTTGTTTCTTCTCAATATCAACAAATGTACAATAGAACAGGAACCATAAGAAAAATCTTTCTGTGCTACAATGAAATCTATTCGTCAGATTGTTTATTGAAATATCAAATCAGATATAGATGATAAACAGTGTCGAATAAGTACAATCGTCTGATAAGACTTCTCTTGATGCATTCTGTCAATTGTTGAATCTTGAGAATGAATGTTTCTTGAGCAAAAGTAGAGTAAGAGCTCTTTCTAGTAATTGAATGTGATTCAGATAAATATACTCGATCACATTCATTTTATGCTGAAGAAGACGAAGTTTCGAGAGATACAACGAAAATTTGCACTGAAGAACTTTACTTCATCATAAAATTGATTGTGTCAGCAACGGCTTTCAAATGAAGCTTTTTTTTCTATTTGTATTTCGACAGTCCGAACGTTTTATTATAACTTGTATGATGAAAATAATTCAGTAAGTAGAATGAACAGTCAGTTACTGTGAACAAGTAAATATATGTGATGAATTTGTATTGATAGGTCAAAGTCTCAATTAAAACCGATGTAGTACAATAAGCACTTAACATATTGCTCATCTCATAAAATTTTCATGAAAAAAAATTATTATAAAATTAAAATTTTGACTTGTCACATAATCAAAAACTTTTTGTATCGCTAAGAAAAGAATGTTTGAATTTTCAGAAAAAATTTCTTCTCCTAAATAATTACGTAGTACTATGTACAAATTTCACATGAGTTAAATGATTTCTAACTGGATTTATTAGGCAATAAATAGTCTCGTCATTTTCTTGATCTTCATGTTGTTTTTGTAGATTTATCGTATTTTTATCATAATGAGTAGCAACAATATGCGTATTTACTAGACATCCATGAATAGTTTTGTGATTCGATGGTCAGATATGGCGGCTGTTCACTCGAGAACTCTTATTACTATTAGAAGGTAAGAAGCGACTTGATCCATCAATAGATGTTCGACAGAGATTAAGAACACAATATTATTTATCGGTAATATACACATGTTTATAATTCTTGTCAATCTATTCAGATAAATAATCTGTTCATTGTTGAAGAGATGAAAATCGTATTAAAGAAATGTCTCGTGAACGGTCAAGACTAATGAAGCTACCATAATCTTATAAGTACTAATCGACAATTACATATTGTCTGCCAGTGAAAGAGTTTAATGAAATAGCTTCTGATACTACTTCGAAATTTTTTATCATATTAATCGTTGAACATTCTAATTTTGTGAATAGACTTTTTGAATTCATAAGAAAATCTAAAAATAACAAAATCGTTCTATATAACTATTAATGAGAATGGATGAAAATCATTTTTGATTATTCTATTTTGAACTTAATAAATCCGCCAACGACCCTGACTTCATCAGACAACATATAAAAATGCGCATATTTATTTTTTTTATGTTTCTATTTTTATGCAATGTCCACCCATCTGTCAAGTAACATGTATAGAATATACATTGTATTGAATAGTGATGACAGAAAAGTAGAACAATGTAAATGGATGTATGAATTGGATCATGTTTCACGAGAGAGCATTATATAATAGAGTATTTGTTGTTTCTTTTTTAATATTTCATTGAATTACATCAGCAAAAGAAGATCTTTGCAGTCTGAAATCCATTGATAAATTATGTTAGTTTTTTGTTCGTATAAGCATGAGATTAATATGATACATCTCACATCACCGTGATTTCATTAATTTGAAGAACTTAGTGATTGCTCAGCGAACTTTCAAGCATATTATTGGATTTTGCAATTTTTAGGTTTGATTGCTGTCATGCTACCATCACTATTTAATAAAAGCTTCTTATGATTTATTCGATTATTTAACGAAAAAACTATTTCATAGTAATTAACTTAATATAAACGATATTTGGTGTACTATTCATCATATGGTAGTGTTTAGTAATATGACAAATTCTTATCTGTGTAAAATATGCATAAAGATTATTCGAGAATATAAAATCATACATTTTTTATTCAACCGTTAAAACAATCGAATTAGCCACTCAGAAAATTGTTCTTGTTACTTACTCAATTGTGCTTATTGTAAGTATAATGCAAACATTTTTGAAAAATAAACATATTGATCGAGTATAGGCTTATAGAAATGAAGCTTACTCTGATGGAAAATGTGACTCACATCAAGTTTGTTTTCGTGAACAAATTATGACTTCTTATTGATTTGATCAGTATATTTCTCACATATTCTTAATCCTAACCAATTAATATTACTCATAATTTCAACTCGCATAGAAGTACTCATGCTTATTGTAATCAGAAGTTTATTTATTCGACGAAATGAACCTATAAATGATTGTTTTTCATTTCACTATCTATATTAATTACTTGAATGTGAAAATCATACGTAGTGATCCATGTCGACTAAATAAGACTGAAAGTATTCCAAAATGTAGTTGTTATTATTTTGAAATGGATCATCTTATCATGATGGTCACATCTGTCATCGCTTAGCATTATCGCTAAGATCTGTCTGGGGACCTATAATGATAACAAAAAATCGATTATGTTCACTCTATCTGCGTCTAAAACCAGAATCAGTACAAAATTAGTTGGATGCATCAGCAAATGATACAGTTTTACAAGTTTTTGAGTCGAAAGGACAACTTCTTGTCAGTGTTGAGTGTCGTATCTATTTAGTTAGTGAGGAAACAAAATTTTCAATATCATCCAAAAATAAAATCTTATTGACTAATGAAAAGGCTGTTATTGAATCAACACCTCATACGTAACAGAGATGAGCACAGGACAGGATGGTCCTGTTGTCCTGGTGCCCTGTCCTGCCGCCTACCAGGACAGAAAAGTTAGCAGGACAGAACAGAACAGGTAAAAAATTCTTGTCCTGTGCTCATCTCTAATTTTTTTTTCTTGAAAACTATATAAAATGCATTAGTTAGAAAATATTAATTGGTGATGTTTTTTTTGTACAATGAAAGCAGAAGTAAAACTCATTCTTTGTATTTTACAACCTGTGAAAACGGATTTAATTGGTAGAAAAACGGTAGAAATCGTGACGTCTTGCCCTGCCGCCCGCCAGGACCCAGATAGCTAGCAGGACAGGACAAGACAGGAGAGAAAATCTTGTCCTGTGCTCATCTCTGATACGTAAACATTGAATCACAATAATAGTTCTTCTCTTTTGTTATTATATGTTTTGTCAAAATTCAATTCTTTTTAATAGATTTTTCGTCTCTTCAAAATCTCTTTATAAAATAAAAACCATAAACATATACAGAACAAGTCAAAAACAAAATGAATGCAACAATACTTATGTGTCAGTTTCATATTCTCAAAAACAAATTCACCTTTTGAACTTTGCATAACTAGAAATTACTATTCTGACAAATCTATTAAGTCAATCTTCGATATTATTTCTGAGACGTCAGTACATGCATAGCTCTAGATTGTTTATAGAATCCATAACAGCGGATTTTTATATATAGATATCGTCATCAGTGTTCTTCTTCGTCTTTCTCAGTGCTCTTCGAGTAATAGTTTTGGTATTATTCATTTTTTCCAAAAAGTAGAACATAGTTTTGATTGACAGTATACAATAACCACTATGATTATTTCTCTGACACAAATATTATAGAACGACTTGTTTATGTTTCTGTATTCTAAACTATTGTAATTGTCAAATATCCTAATCTTAAGTATATCAGCAGAATAAAATTTGTCATTATTCTAGATCCAATATTTTTTAACGATTGTTTTATTCAAATAAAGTAGGATGCAGTTTTTTAAGCATGTGTCTGTCGTTTGATAAAACGAAAGTTATAGTACACAGATTTTCTTTGTCAATCATTCATATTAGCAATTTATTCATCCATTCTTTTTAAAAATCCTAATGAAATAAGGTAATTTGAGATTAAAACTACTTATTTATTGCATCTGATCGATAAATCTTGGTTGTACGAAAAATTAGTTATATAGGATATAAAAGTGTTTTGAAAATTGTAAAAACCTCAAAGAGTCGAAGGGTTGACCAATCGAAACTGTAGGAATTACATACATTGAAACCTATCGAAATTCATTATAGACAGGTCATCCAAGGGTATAGGAGTCCTAGATCGATTCTTGAAGTGTCACTTTTCGATAGGTCGAAGGGTCAGCCATGAGTAAATAATTGCCACTTCTATGAGCCCAACGGATATCTCAGATCGATGCCTCAAAATACATGTCTAGTGGTAGCTTGGGTAGTATGAACAATTTCCTTTCTTTCACCACTATTTGCTTTTCTTCCTTTCTATTCTAGCTTTCTGCACTAGTTCTTTTAGTCTCTAAGCTAAGCCGTCCGAAGTATGTCGGCTGTAAACTCTTAACTTCTCTATATTGATGAGTCATAAGATGATGCTATTTATATCACGATGATCGATGTTTCATAGTCAACTGCAAATGGCAATGATGTAAGAATTAGTGACATTAAATATTCCATTTTTATNTCTATAGTCAAAATTTCAGACCTTCCTACTTTAATTTAGTTAATTTATGATATAAAAACTTTTCACTTTATATAATAGTGAAAATAGTAAAACGTCGATAATTTTTGAAGGTAGAGGATTGGGGAGAAATTCCGTTAGGGTTTTTACTACCTCAATATACTCGACTAAATGAGATATGAATGAATGAAAACGGGAGATATCACCTCGGGTGGTTCCCTCGTTAGATCGAAAGAAACTTTATGATAACAAAAAGACAAATATAAAATAAACCAATGAATAAGTTAGAAAGGAATATAATAAGTGATTTCAATCGAATGCGCAGGATTATTTTATGAAAATATGATACCAATGTTAGTGCAATGAAAATCTAAATTCAAAAAATTGTGATCAGCAAAATAATCAGTCTTATATTTGAGTTTCATCTTCGTAGGCGAATTTCAATCACTGAATCTTAAACCGAATCTGCTTTAGATTTTGGTGATAAATCGACCATTGGAAAATCGAGGTATGAATTGTCATCTTTTTTAAGTAGATTTGCAAATCCTGCATACCAACCAATTGCTGCTGTTACTATTCCAAAAGCTCCTCCTGCACGTGATAAATTGTGATGCCATGTAAGAAAGTAACTTGCTGTTAATAACATATAAGTTAATGCCAAAACAGAGAAAAATGCTACATTAATTATATTTGTTCGAATTGATGCAAATATCATGATTAATGTAAATATTAACCATGCAAGATAGAAAACATCTAATGCATTATATTGTGTAGTTGTATCGGTTACACTGGTAAGATAGCCAAATGTACTAGCATAAATCGCACCAAGTCCAAACCAATAACCAGAATAAGAACAAAATACAAGTCCATTAAAATTATTTCCAACGCGCAATTCAAATAAACCAGCAAGAAATTGGATCAAACTACCATAGAAAAGTACAAGACCCATTGCGATAGTAGGTGTAGTTGAAATTGGGACAGTTGCACCGGCCATGTACATTGAATAAACAAATAATGTTAAAGCAAAAGCACAAAAACCAATCGGTGCTGCCTTATAAGGTTGAGCTCTTGATGAGCCAGGTGCTTTCATTAAACGTTCAAATTCAAGAAAACGTTCATATGTTGTTCGACTGGCATCTCCTTGAGACATTTTTCTAAAGTAACTATTTTAATATTCTGTTCAATACAACAACAAAAAATTATAAATTCAATTTGAATATTTTAGATATATTAATAAAATAATTTTATTTCGAATTGGACTGAGACTGATAGTGTGACAAATATACTTTTTTCTTCTTGAGACATTTTTCTACATTATATTGTAATAGCGTTTTCCAAAACAGATACAGATTTTTTTTTCTAGCCCTCTAATTTGAAAAATCATCGTATTTACTCACAAAAATAAGGTAGTACATATATAAAAAATTGTAACATTTTTTTTTTGTGTTACTATTCATAATATCTTATCGACTAATGATGAGCTCTTGTGGAACTCGCATATACTTTCGAAGGAAAATAGGAAGTGTAAGTTTTAAGTTGAAGTGTTCCGAACTCGCCCCCCCCCCTGCCCCCATACTCCACACACACATTACAGATCGTAGCAACTACGATAGTTTTATAGTGGTTCATTATTCAAGCTTATGTAATATATGTGTGAGTTTCACATATCAACCCCATAGGAACTGTGTTAACAAGCTTTTTTATTTCATACGAAACATGGTAGTTTTCTTCGATGTTTCATGAAAATTTTGATGATCAAATATGGTTACCTACATTGAAATAAAAAAAAGGAAACGAGTAATGCTCTGTGTGTATCACATTGAACTGCAAGGTTTTAATTCAAAAAAAAGATATTTTAAAACAAGGATATATTGTATCAAAAAGTATTCTGGACAAATTAAAGAACCATGTGGAATTCTTCTACAAGTATTTGAAATAAAATTGTTCTCGATCTACAGTAAATAAAAAATCAATTTGATACACTACCTTAACTTTCGTAGTTTTTTTTTCAATTGTTTGTATAATACAATTCAAAAGAGTTGCATTATAATATCTTTTTTCTTTCTCCTAGAGAAATTGTTACACGTTGTATATATTCTACATAATGGTATATTGTTGAACTATAAGTGTCCTTAGTGGCTCCGTTTGTCATTTAGTATCGAAAAAAAACGTTACGCTCTTTTATTTTTATGTAAGTTGAGATATTTCATTTATAAATAAATGAATTTGTTGCCTAGCGAAACACAAATAAGTTTGAAACTCTATTTCATGTTGCCAATTGCTTTTACAAGACGAAGTTACAAGGGTGTGGGTGTGAGATTATGAGACTTTTCTTCATCCACACCCACAAATTTTAGTTGGATTCTATGCGAAATTCGTTAATATAGTTATACTAGAGGCCCCTGTGAAGGGTTGGACTCAAGGGGAGAAAAGCGGGACTCATGGAGTGCGTACTCCCACTGTACTACCCTGCTCTTCTCTGTACTTTCGCTGTACTTCCACTGTACTCCCCTATACTTCCACTGTACTTCCCTGCACTTCCACTGTACTCCCTTGTACTCCCATTGTACTTCTGGAGTACGGGAGTTTCGTCTTTTCCCCCTTAGTTGGACTTTAATATTACCGGAAAAATTTAATATTATAGGAAAAATTGATTTAATTTACATAAGAAAAAAGTTCCTGAATGTAAAATATAACATAGATGACTGGCATATATATGTCAGCGTCCAAACTGAGATTACGTCCAATTTCAGATTGGCCTAGGCGAATGTCGGATCCGAGATTGAACGCGTCCAATCTCGGATTGACACAATTCTGTTCACTAAAAACTCAATTACTCCTTAGATAGACGTTGGATCGGAACTATTTTTTGAAATTATGTTCGCACAATGCCGTTTTAAGTATTACAAGGATTTAGGAAGAAGCTAAATTTAGATTAAAAAATTTAATAAAAATTTTTCATCAAAGCTGTTGTTTTCTAGAAATTTATTTATAACTCCTAAAATTTTACTAAAATCTACCAAATGACAATTGTGTCAAATAAACAGGCATTGTGTGAACATAACTCCAAAAAGCAATTCGAATCCAACGTCTATCTAAAGAGTAATTGATATTTTAGTGAACAGAATTGCGTCAATCCGAGATTGAACGCGTCCAATGTCGGATCCGACATTCGCCTAGGCCAATCTGAGATTGGACGTAATCTCAGTTTGGACGCTGATATATATATGTATACTTTTTTTTCGTTCTGTGACCAATCATATGAAAGTTCCTGAAGAAGAAGAAGAAGAAAACACTTGTAAAATATAATATAGATTCTTTTCCCAAGTATCATATTGTGCGATAAAAGCATTCTGATTATCTTTTGAATTTTTTTTCGATAAAATTTCATTGTTGAAACGAATTTTTACGAATATACTCGACTTAATTACTGAATCTTGTTCATAAACTAATGAGTAAACTTGAATCATAGAATTTTCTTGTATGAAATCGCTATCACACTTTGTATTTTCACCGAAGAAAGTTTCCCAAAATGAAGCTCACCGAATTCATTCATGATTGATTCTGTATCAAGTGACGATTTCATTACCAAGCTAGCTGGTTATAATAAAATAAGATGGCTACCACGTCAGTTGGTGAAGGCGATAACGAGAGTTGACTAAGAGTGAGGATGAAATATATGTATAAACAAAACGAACACATATGCTTATATTGATTTTTATAGTGTCGTTTCTATAACCGTTTTAATTTCCAGTAAACGATGGAGGAAGTAACATTTATCTATCTTCACAAAGCAAGTCGTTTGGCAATCATTTCAATTGGTAAGTAACTGACTTGATAATGAGCTAATTACTGAAAATAAAATATTTCATACATGATCAGTCATATTTGGTCAAGATCTATTTTCGATTATGAAAGCATTCGGTAGCATTCAAATCGGCGAACATCATCTTTGAAGAACTTCATTTTCGATGAAACTCACCTTTGACAAACTTTTTTTCTGCAAAAATTGACCAGTTCTTCGTTATTCATAAAGAACTTGTATGAAATTACCTTTGAGATGATACTCTAGTCATAGTGAAGTTTGAATAAATGGACTAAAAGTTATTTTTCAATGTCTGCTTTATTCTAAATATGTAACACAAAAGCTTGCTTTATATGAAAAGAGATGTAAAAAAGGAAATATTCATAACGAGTACAAACGGTACTTTGTGACACTTCGTTTGCTTTCTTTTTCCCTTTAGTGTAGTCAGTCATTTAATGCATGCAATAGGAAAAAAGAACTGTTCTCTATTAGAAACTATCCATATGATATTTAAAATATTTATTCAGTGATAACTATCGTGAAATAGTGTCAGTATAACAAGGCACAACTAAGAAGAATGAATTACATAGAAATCATTTCGTATTATATAACACTTACCTCGGAATATATCTAATGATTATGTTTTTAATAGAGTTTGTTGTAGCAGCACCACCTTTGTGTTGTATAAGGACTATTCTAACTAAAATGATTTATAGTTTTAATTGTTGCCATTTATGGAAAGGATGTACTGTATCCTCGGTCGCTTATGACGCTTTTCATATTATATCTAGATGAGATAATAAAGTCGATATTATATCGCTAATTACGTAGGTCAAATTTTAGCACCCCATTCGAGTAAACATTGTCCATATTGACCTAAGAACCTGTTCTACAACTCATATTCTTCTATCAGATACAAATCAGCAGATTCTATTCAATGTTACAATCAAATTCCACTTTTGCTGCGCAAATATAATCAATCCTTCGAATGCCTGTCATAAGCTGGCACGCCACGTTTCTGTGAAAAAAGAGAAAGTATGCGCCACAATCAATGTTTGTCTGTTCTTTGCCAATAAGTTGTGAACGACAAAAAAACATGCTGTATCCTTCCCGGCTGATAAGGGGACAGGCTATGGTGTGTCTTACGGCCTTTCTAAATAGAGAAAATGTTACGAAAAATGGTTGTGCATCATGCTTAGATTCTTCACAAAGAATGTGTAGGTCTTGTGATGAAAGTCGAACAAAAAAAAATGTTTTTTTTAACTAGTATTATTTCTTCGTCTTTGATGTATCTTTTCGAAAAAGTTCCTTTTTATGACCTTTTTCTATCTAATGTGAACTGCGTTTTGGCATTATAATTCTACGTGATACCATAAAATGAATCTAGCAGTAATAAACAGATGAAGGCAAAGTTACACTAAGAAGTGTTGCTAGCTTCAACTTTTCTTGCGGGTGAATGGGTAGATGAACGCCTTCTCTTCAGCAAACTTCTGTTGAGAATTTTATTGACTGTTGCATATGATGGTTATTACAGTACTCATATATTGATCAGCTAAATCAGTCATTATTTTATTGATTCGTGTTTCACGAGGGTGCATATGTAGGTGGGCATGGTAGTGTAAAGTCTTTTCTCAACATCATACTCACACTCTACATATATTCATGCTCTCAAAGCGCCAAGCTCTAATTGCAATGCTGTCCATGGAAGACTAATAAAAATTCGAGAGTTCAATATTTTTGACTAGAATTGGTATTAAATTCATGATACTCTTAATGTCTCTGAAATATAATTTAAATGATTATGTTCTTTGCAATATCAATCATGACTTGTACAAAAATAACTCATATGGATAATTTCAATTCGTTAGCGACATGATTTCAAGACTGAACTTTATTTTCGCTAACTTTTATGCATCAAATGTATGTTGTGTTACTTTAGATATCCTGAAAAATTCATCACTGAGACTTTTGGTTCGTCAGTTTATTATTGATAACTAACGCTGACCACACAACACAAAAAAATACAAAAGTTTTTGCTGTAGAGAACTCTTCAACCTACAAAATCTCTATGCCAGATTATTTCTGAACACGCTGAAATTTTTCAGAAAATCAAAAAAATAGTTCTAAATGACGCAAATCATTCTTACGAATCTCGAGATGATAAAAAGAAGAAAATTTCTGCTTGGAGATTCGAGAAGATCTCTGGAAAATCGGTTTCGATGAAACAAACTTTTTGAAGTATCATCTTGTTGAAAATTTCATCATAGATATAGTCTGAAACGTGGAATCTACCCTGAAATTTATGGACTTTTCCGTCATAAGGTTAGCTTATTATATTTTAATTA